CCGCGGCGGGAGCGCTGCTGCGCTCCCAGCGCTGCACTCTCCCAAGTGCACCACGGGCTCGGCCCATGTCATTTTTGTTTTTGTTTCCATGCAGTCCCCTGAAAGATGGTAATAAATGATATTTTTAAAGAGTAGATAGTGTGAATCTTCATTGTAGGTGTTAGTATTAAAATTTAGGTTCAAAAATAATACTCTAAATCTAATTTCTTTACACAGATTAACACGTTATTTTCTTGAGTTCTTTAATAATAAATGCCAAAAATTTTGAAATCTGACCTAAGATTTCACTTTGAAGCACAAGAGAGTTTAGACATGTTGATTCCGAAATTTGCATTTTGTGAAGCAGTCACCTTTGACTTAACTTTAGGTGGCAGTGTAAGTAGAGGATTATATCTAGTATTGCAATATTGGTTGGCATTAAAGGGGGGGGGTTTATGAGGAAATAACAGTTTCCATTCCTGACTTTATCTTGATTTGTGAAGAAATACAGAGTTTCCATTTCTGTCATTATCTTGTGCTAAGGCATCTCTTTAGCCTAAGTAAGAACCAGGGCCACTTCTCTGTTTACAAATTTAAAAATGTCATTTAAACATTTAAAAATGGCAAATATCAAGTTTTCGTGTGGTATACTAATGATTCAAAACAAAGTACTACTATTTTGTTGTCTTTCAGCTTATAGAATTGTAGGTATGTGAAGATCAAAATTATGACTGTCTCCTAGCTATCACCTTTAAACTAGTCTAAAAACTATTACTACTTTCTCTCAATCTAAAGTGTATATTGAAAGGATTAGTTCCATGTGGCAGTGTTTAGCTTGCTCCCGGCCTTCTTGATGTGCTAGATTTTCCTCCCTTAGATCCTTTCCTACTTTTCACATCTCTGGTTTTCATTGAAAGTATGATGAAAAGTCTATGGATCTTTTTTAGGAAAGGAAACTAAGATGGAAATAACTTACGTTAACTCCTGCCAGGTATTAGTATTTTAACAGGAGTACCTGATACTGAAGAATTAACTTCTAGTGGAAGTTCAAAAATTAAATTGGGGATGGAAGTTAATTACATCACATTACTGGAAGGAAGCCTCCCTGCCCAATACCAGCTTTTTATGGAGTTCAGCAATCTTGTGGTCCTCATGTAAAAATATATCTGTTTATATAGATATTGAGGTTTGTACTACATTTAGTAATTATCTAGATATCCTCCTTGGAAAGAGAAGCAGAATTAGCAAGTATGCAAATTGCTCTACCTATAACACTGAGAGTTTTATGAGTCACTTTAATTAATCTGTTCCATCCCTATCCACACCCAATTCACAAAAGAATTTGTGTATGCTTCATAATCTACAAGATATTGTTATTTTAGCCAATGAGCTTTTAAAAATCATCAAAGAAATTTGATTCTGTGCAGTGTTAATTAGGAATTTAACTGTATTACTAGTAGATATTATGTGCTAATAGATGAAAATAGCAAAACTGTTCTGCTTTTCTTTGGATAATCTACCCATTTTGTTTATTTTTACCCATGATAATCACCCATTCAGGAAAAGCTATTGTTTCTTCAAGCTATTTTTGTTTTAAACTGTATAACCTTTTTAAAGAAAAACAGAGTTTTCTGTAAAATGTGAATTTTGGTCATCACATTTTTTACAGGCTATATGAGGTTGAGTTACACTTGAATTTTTAATATGCCAAAGACAGTGTTTTTGGTAAAAGGTTGGGGGAATATTTATTTTGAAAAGAACATTTAAATTTAAAATTCCTTCTGACCATAAAAATTCAGATTTGTGCTTTACCCTTTAGGCTGCAACTTATTTGTGCCCTATATTGGACTTTAGTAATAAGGTGAATAAGAAGGTAACTAGTCAAAAAAAAAAATCCCCAAAACACTATTACAAGTGGCCTTTTGACTATGATATTAATTTATATGAGAATATTTAGGTATATCGGTATTTTTTTCTGATCGAATTTTGTTTTAGATGCCATTCTAAATATGGTGAATATTGCTGCTAATATTCTGGGAGCAAAAACCGAAGACCTGACAGAAGGTACCTAATCATTTTATGGCTCTTTTAAATAGCTGGTACTCCAGGGATCCTTCTAGTTAGGAAAACCAAGTGATAAGCCAAGAAAATTTGATTTTTCATTTAGAAATATGGAAATGATCCAGAGTAACTTATCAATCTTCTATTATTCATTGTTTATTTTAATTTCACAGCTTCTTTTTTATGAAAGGATCTTGTCTGTATAAAATTTATGGATTAGTTTTTTGACTCTTCCTTGCTATAATAGTAATGATTTTGTCCCTTATCTCTACTGAAGTTTTGATGCCCTCATGGTTTTTCAAGTATGTTTTCCTTTTATGTATCAAAGATTTAGAAGCCATTTTTTGTTTTCAGAATGGCAAATAAGAATATTACTAGCAAGGAGAAACAATCTTGCCTTTTTTGTTTTTAAAAATAGTTTCAAGTGCAAACTTAAAATGACCCATTTATTTCCTCTCATTGTCTTTAATAACACTTTCAGGTGTCTAGAAGGCATATTAATTATGAAAGGTCATACAAAATTCATAGTCATCTAGCTTTAATTATCTGAGAAGCTGAGAAATAATTTGCATTACTTGTAGTTGTGATCTTATATGATAATTTCTTTCTTAAAAAAAGAACTTTGATTTAAAATAAAAGTCTGCAGTAGCAAACCTATTTGACTTTTTTCTTCTCCCCCAAGAAATTAAAATTCTTTATTTGTTATAGTGAAGTATTTATGGTACAGTTTTAAAAAATTGAATTCAACATGGGCATCTTTCTTAAAATAGGAAATAAAAGTATATCTGAGAATGCCACTGCCACAACTGCACCTAAAATGCCTGAATCAACTCCTGTTTCAACTCCTGTTCCATCACCTGAGTAAGTTATATTGTGACATTATATTGAGTTCTACTAAAATGGAGAGCTAAGTATACTGTACAAAAAAAGGAATCCGTGATTTGTGTGTGAAATTATTACTTATAGAGAGCTCTGAATCATAGAACAGACATTCTACAGCCACTTAGAACATCTTTAAGTTGCTTCTTCCCTTTAGTGTACATGTATACTGGAATAGACTTTATTCCAGACCAAATATTTGTTGTTTTGATTACATTACTTTCATTATTCACAACACTAAGTCTTTTTTCCTTATTGCAAGTAATTGACTTGATCTTGTAGGTATAGGTTTGAGGACAAATTTTTAAGGTCTTTTTTATTAAGTTCAGGTTTAAAAGCATTGGTTGCGTATCTATGGTATCTCTAGAAAGCTACAAAGGGTACCCGAAATACGTAGAGCGGTGGTTCTTGAATTAGTGTTTTTTTACACAGCAGGCTCTCACAGTGTTCCATTTCTCAAATTGAATCATATAGGCCTTTCCCCAGGTTACAATGGGGCACTTTGGGCAGGGATATATATGGGTGTGTGTGTGTGTGTGTGTGTGTGTGTGTGTGTGTGTATATAAATAACAGATAAAATATCCTTATTTTTTGTCTTTTCTACAAAAGATGATCACAGTTTTTTGGTACCTGTACTTCTTATCTATAATAAATAAAAAACTCATAATGATTTAGATAATTGGGTATAGTTACTCTAGATTTATTTACGTATATTTCATTAGATATACTTTCTGCAAAATTTTGAACATACTTTCTCTCATAGGAACTCCAATTTGAACATGAAGTAGTTTGAGGTAGTATGTAATGAGATCTGCAGTGGTTATGCTTTGAACTACAATTCCTAAGTATCATACTAATTCAAAAATGGGATTTTTGTGCTTAGAAGGGCGCAGTGAGAAATTTGTCATCTGCTGTATTAATCCTGAAAGTTACCGAAGATATTTGTTGGGTGATTAGAGAGAAAATATAGCATGTGTGTTAACTGATTCCTAGAAGGATGTAAGAAATCTATTGGGGATAGAGACATTCTTGGTGTTTATAATTATGTGGAACTCTGATTACTATTCCTGATTTTGTAACTAAGCTTTTTCAGTTAACAACAAATGGAATGTATTTTTCAAAACTAAATAAAACTAATTTCATTTTATATATGTATATACATACACACATGTACATGTATATGCCCACATATATAAATATTTGTGGAAAGATATAATAACAGGCTAATGTAGCAGTTTCTACTTTTCCATATAACATAGTTTTTAAAAGATATTTTTGCATAATTTAAAAAAATTATTTCTTCATGTTTCTTTGTCTTAAACTCTTTTTAGTGATTATATAGCAGTCTTTTGAAGAAAATAAATGAAAATGAAAGAATCCATGATAGGGTATCACTTTTAAAGTTGTTATGTTATGAAAAGCTGATTTCTTTTCCTAGGTTTGAGTTAGTTTATTTTTTTAAGTATAGCTCTGATTAGAGTGTATATGGATGGTATGTAATTTAATTTTTACCACATTCAATTTAGTTTTTCTTCCCTTCTTCAGACATTGCTCCTTTTTTTTAGACTAGTCAAGTGCTGTAGGTGAGAATGTGGGAAAGAGTAGAACAAGGAATTGGATCTGTAGCTGATTTTGAACAATCAAGATAACTCACTACCTTCGGACTGTCCTTTAACTGTCATAATGTATTTGGTAGATAATAAGCAATATATTACCTGAATATGTAAGAAATATTATTAGAGACTATATATATATATATATATATATATATATATATATATATATATATGTGGCTATAAACATTTTCCTAATCAGAGAAGCATAGCCTAATTATATATTAGTTTGGTGCATTTACTATTTCACTACATTTCAACAAAAGAAAGTTCATCCTTTAAATATGGTAGTCTATTTTATTACCTTTGTCTACCTTTGCTATTGTGACATTAGTCTTTATTTAAAGATATTTCCTGGTGTTCCTAGTAATTTTCTAGAGTAGGAAAATTTGTGTATGAAGCTAATCTTTTTTGGTATTCACATCACCTTATTTTTTCAGATTGTACCTTTTGTACTCATCAGTGTCCCCTACCCCACACACATACCCCAGAGCCCAAAGATATAATAGAATTAGTGGCACCATTAGTTTATTATAAGCCAGGATTTTTATAAAAGTGGTTAAGTATTTGGCTTTTAATAATAGAAAATTAGCCCAGACTATATTAAGATCATTTTGGGAAGAGGCATATGTTTCTTTTTCCTAAAGCAGGTAATCTTGTGTGTGTGTGTTTAATGCTGCATTGGAATTCCTCAAGTCATCCTTGGAAAAATTATCTTTGAGAAATCTAGCTGTCTTTTGAAAATAGGATATTCAACAATAAAGTGCATTAATAAGTATTAAGAATAATGGATTCTGTTTCTAACTCTGGAGTTTACAACCCTTGGGTAGCTTAATATCTGATCTATAAGGGGTGGTGAGGCTTCTCAAGGATTGGTGAATGTTTATGGGAGGAAAGGTTACACTATACATTGAGTGAATACAAGTATTCACTTACGAACAACTCTTAAATAGAGATTAGAACGCAAGTTTGATGTGATGTAAATATGGTGGGTTGAGTCATCTTGCTGGTCATTTGATAAATGTTTCTGTTTCTATTTCGGAGCAATATTTTTTTTATAATGAAATGTTTTGAGGGGGAAACATTGATCCAAAAAATTTGAGTTTCTTTACTTTCAGCCTTCCTTTTATCTTAAGTATGATACCTTTATTTTCCTTAAACATATTTTAACTTTAGATATCTAATTAAAGTAATTGGTAATTATGATGTATATTTCTAGGTATGTAACCACTGAAGTACACGTACATGATACAGAACCATCGATACAAGACACTTCAAAAGAAAGCCCCATTGTGCAACTAGTTCAAGAGGAAGAAGAGGAGGCAAGTCCATCTACAGTGACCCTTCTGGGAAGTGGTGAACAGGAGGATGAATCATCACCCTGGTTTGAATCAGAGACACAAATATTTTGCAGTGAACTGACCACAATTTGTTGTATTTCTAGTTTTTCGGAATACATATATAAATGGTGTTCAGTTAGAGTTGCTCTTTATTGGCAGCGCAGCAGAACTGCTGTGAGTAAAGGAAAAGATCATCTTGTATTGGCTCAACCACCATTACTAATTCCTGCAAAATCAGTAGGTGTTTCAGTATTGCAACCTCTGAGTGGAGAATTGGACAGTAAGAATATGGAAAGGGAAGCAGAAACTGTTGTTCTTGATGACTTAAGTAGTATGCACCAAGGTGATTTGATGAATGACACTGTAGATGCAATTGAACTTGAACCAAGCCATTCTCAAACTTTTTCTCAGTCTTTTCTCTTAGACACTACTCCAGAAATTAATTCATTATCTAAAATAGAAGTATCTGAGTCTATTAAACAAGAGGCAGGACATACCCCATCACAAGTGATTCCCCAAGAGAGTTCTGTTGAGGTTGATAATGAAACAGAAAAGAAGTCTGAAAGCTTTAGTTCTATAGAGAAGCCGTCTGTTATCTATGAAACAAATAAAGTTAATGAGGTAATGGATAATGTTGTAAAAGAAGACATGAACTCCATGCAAATTATCACAAAGCTGTCTGAAACAATAGTGCCACCTATAATCACAGCCACTGTACAAGACAACGAAGATGGGGAAGCCAAAATGAACATAGCTGACACACCAAAGCAAATTTTGACTCCTGTTTTGGATTCTTCTTCATTACCTGAATTAAAAGAGGAAGAACAAACTCCAGAAGATGCCCTTTTGAAAGGGTTACAAAGGACAGCTACAGATTTTTATGCTGAATTACAAAATTCTACAGATCTAGGATATGCTAATGGAAATCTTGTACATGGATCAAACCAAAAGGAGTCAGTATTTATGAGACTTAATAATCGTATTAAAGCTTTAGAAGTTAACATGTCTCTCAGTGGTCGCTATCTGGAGGAGCTTAGCCAAAGGTAAGCTTTATTAAATTAGCATAGTCCACTTTACATGGTGAGTTAAGTAGTGAGGTATGATCTGTGATTAAAGAGGAGAGGATTTCATTATCTCATGATTTAATAGTTAGTAAGCCCCATTTTAGCTGGAGAGAGAAAACAAGCTATTTGGATGCTGATCATTGACCTAAAAGAATTGATTTTCTTTCTTTCTTTCTTTTTTTTTTTTTTTTAAGTTTTGAAGTATTACTCAGTGACAACACTTTATGAGGCTGGTAACAAGTTTGAATTACCTACGCTTAACATTCTCCTTTCTTCTTTTGCTTAACTTTAGCCACTTCTATTGTTTGATTACCAGAGGGCTCATGGGAAAAGTGATTTGGATATAGGCCTTCAAGCTTTAGTAGAACTTGACCAGATATCACTTAAGAGTTTAGATAAGTGAAGGCAAGAATGGACTTAACTATATGATTAGGCCACTTTTGTAGTTTGCGTTCTTTTAAACAGGTCCTACAATCCTAGTTGTAGTTGTAATAATTTATGCTCTTGTGCTCTTAAGTATCAGAGGCAGTACCAATATGTTTATGCAGTGATTTAAGACCGCAAGCACAGCTCCATTTTTTAAACTTATCACTCTTTTTTATTCCTTAAGTGTCCAATGTCTGTCCTTAGGGCTTCTCCCCCAACATTTTGCAGTCACCTAGGCATCAGGTGTCCAGAGCTCCTGAAATAACCACCTTTTCTTACTCCTTAAATTGAGATGCTCCTGATGAGCTATCACTTAGGTAGTCATACTGTCATAAAGAGGGTTTCTTCCTAATTCATACTTGTAATTTATTGGCAAATGGTGTGTGTATGTGTGTGTGCATGCATGCATGACCACTTAGCTAACTCATACTTGCTCTTGCCTTTCCTCATTACCATCTGCACCCTAAGCGAACCACAGAAATCACTGAATTTTATATAGTAATGAAACATAGAATTGATGTTGAGGTAACAAATACCCTGAAGGACTTCTTTGTTACACCTTGTGTCTCTGTTTTATACGGACCTAAATAAGAGTCATTTGAAGAAAAATGGATTTATCCCGTATATCAAAATCAGAAGTTTGTTTCTAGTACTAAATGAATAAGAAATTAAAGCTAATTTAAACCAATTCTTATTTCATAGGTACCGAAAACAAATGGAAGAAATGCAAAAGGCTTTCAATAAAACGATAGTAAAACTTCAGAATACTTCAAGAATAGCAGAGGAGCAGGTTGGTCTTCTTTATCCCTTATTTATTTTGTATGTAAGTTTCCATTGAATTTTATAGGATCTCACTGGTAAAAAGGAGAAGTAATGGTGGTTCACTTTTTCCCTTTTGGCTCATGATTAAGTGTGTTATGTCATGTTTGGAAAGTCATCTAGCTATTAACATCATCTCCTCTAGAGAAAATTACCTTCAGCATTATTCATATTACATTGTGTGTTGTGTGTGTGTGTGTGTGTGTGTGTGTGTGTGTGTGTGTGTGTGTGTGTGTGTGTGTGTGTGTGTGTGTGTGTGTGTGTGTGTGTGTGTGTGTGTGTGTGTGTGTGTGTGTGTGTGTGTGTGTGTGTGTGTGTGTGTGTGTGTGTGTGTGCACGCGCGCATGCGCATGTAAAAGAGAGAAGTGCAGTGGATTTTTCTTTGTTAATCTCTAAAATCTTTTGTGTTTTTTTGTGTAGGTAATCTTATTGACAACAAATAAGAACTGCTTTGTTTCTTCTTTTTCCGTCCTCATACCTTTTTATTTTAGTTTTTTATCTTGTTAGAACTATATAGCAATGTAGTAGGACTGGTTATAGTGGCATTCCCCTATTTGTTGAATTGAAGGGAACAATTTTAGTATTGCACCTTTAAATGTGATGTGTATGTTGTCACAATAAAGAATTTTATACTTAGCTTTTCAAAAGGTTATTTAGGATTAGGGGATAGTGAGGTGAGGAGGGCTCAGACTGCAGAGAGTTTTTAGTTAGTTACATCTTACTCTCCATTTACTACATTTTTATAATTGTGTTCCTCCCTTATTGGTTTGTTCTATTGAAATTTGAGAGTTCTTTATGTATTATGAATACAAGTTTTTTTATCAGAGATATGCTTTGCAAATATTTTCTCCCAGTCCATTACTTGTTTTCTCATTTCTTTACAGTATAGTTTTAGGAGCAGAAAGTTTTTGATTTGTGGAGCCCAATTTATCAGTTTTTTCTTTGCTCAATGAAATCTTTGCCTAATGCAAAGTCACAAAGATTTTTTTCCTGTTTTCTTCTAGAAGTTTTATAGTTTTAGTTTTGCATTAGGTTTATGATCCATTTTGATTTCATTTTTAATGTGTTGAAAGGTATAGATCAAAGTTCTTTTTGGGAACTTTTGTGGGAAGGGGAAGGCATATAAATATTCATTTGTTCTAGCATCATTTGTTTAAAAGGCAGTTCTTTCTTTACTGAATTTCCTTTGTACTTTTCATAAAAATCAGTGGATCATTTATATGTGGGTCTGTTTCTGGGCTTCTGTTTTACTGATCTTTTTGTCTATATTTAAGCTAATACCGCAGTGTTGTAATTGCTGTAGCTTTATAGTAACTCTTGAAGGTAGGCAGTGTTAAGCTCTCCAACTTTGTTCTTTTCCAAGATTGTTTTGGCTATTTTAGTTTTTTTTGTATTTCCATATGGATTTTAGAATCAGCTTGTCAGTTGTACAAAAAAAAAAAAAAAAGGTACTATGTTTGAATCTTGATTGGGATTTTGTTGAATCTATAGATCAATTTGGAGAATTGACATCTTAACAATGTTAAGTCTTCTTACCATAACATGGACACAATATTTATTTAGGTCTTCATTAATTTTAGTACAGTGATTTCCCCTCCTCTGTACTTTCTCTTTGCTTTATATGTAGTAACATCTATGTCTTATGTCTCAAAGACTTATATATAGTAGTACTTTTCAACGATTTGTGTATTATCACTATTGAAAGTAAATCTTGATTAGGAGCATTAACCAACTTATTAAATTTAATAGCTTTCCTTTAAATGTTCATAACTGTCTGGAATTTATCAGTGTCAAATGTGAGTCAGGATTCAAAAAAATAATTTGAGTCACATTTAGCATTTTAAAAAAATGAAGCAAGATGGATAGTACCACAGTGGATCACAGTAAGGGAAGTAAGTGAAACTTTTTGTTACAGTTTTATTCATCTCTGCCACCTTCCCACACATACAGACACACGTGTTCAAACACACTCAGTTGAGGCTTAAAACTTCTTAATCTGAATTTGAGAAACTTGGGTCTAGAAAATAAATGGTTATGTAGCTATTCTATATATGGTCCTAAGTTAGAGTTTTAGATTCCTTAACTTCTTCCTGCCCTCTTTTCTTCTTCCCCAAATTCATTAATGAGTTCAAATTTTCAGTACAGCCTACCTAATATAGTTTTTTAAATATGTGTGATGTATAATTTCCTAAAATATGCATGCGATATTTTAAATAAAGACATGTTTGTTAATTGTAAAAGTTTTTAAAATTCAGAGCTGCCTAAAAAATGGAAAGATGGGTTTTTTAATGAATTTCTTTTCATTGGTGTTATTTTAGATTGACTAGAAGACAAGTTGTAGGTATATTACTATGTGACATCCTAAGCTCCCTTGTAATATGCTATAAAAGAAGTTTTAAAATTTTCTTGGTATTAAGCCTACTTTATATCCAAAAACATTTGTCAAAAAAATTTTCAACATGTTTTTGTGTCCACTGCTTTGCTTTAAAAACACGTCTTTGACTGAGTGACTATTTTTGTATATAGCGGGTTATATGCTGGTTTATAAATTTGGAACTGATATTCGTTTGAAAAGTGACTTATAATTTCTGTTACACAGTATTTACATTGTTACATGATTGGCAAAAAAATATTTTCGAGGGGGGTTAACACAGTCCTAGATACTTGCAGTGTTTTTTTTTTTTTTGATTTTTAAATTTCTGGTTAATGTTTACAATATTTATTCATTAAGAACTTCCTATTAATACATTTGTTTGGGAAGAACTTAGTTTTCTTCAGATTATTTTACTTCAATTTATAATGTAGTTAATATACAGATGAAACACAAAGAAAAATAATACTTATTCCTTTATCATAGGATCAGCGGCAGACTGAAGCCATCCAATTGCTACAGGCACAACTGACTAACATGACACACCTTGTTTCAAACTTATCAACAACAATAGCAGAATTAAAACGGGAGGTAATTGTTATAATTGGTATTGTAAGACACAGTACATTTACAGAGACTGCCATAAAGGCAGGCTTGTTAACATAAAAATGATACCTAAAAACTTTAACCTACCAAAATTGTCATTTATAGAGAACTTTTCCAGAACACCAGAAAGTGGCATTTTTAACTTTTGGAAATTTATTATCATTTATTTTTATTTATTTGTAAAACATGGCTTTTAAAATTTAGATCTTAACTGTAATACAAATATAAAGCTCTTCTGGCAGGTCTTTCACAAACATTGATAATAGCAACACATACTTCATTTTCAGTTTAAAAAGGCTTATAAAGTTGCATAACAAAGCAAAAATTTCATTGATTTAACAAGTATATATTGAGCAATTAGTATATTCTCGGTATGCTGTGTAGTCAGGTTGGGCCATACAGCTGACCTCACAGGGCTTACATTCTGGGGGGAGGGATAGAATACATATAGTAAATATATAAACAGATGATACTTTCTCCTAGCAATAAATGCTGTGAAGACAATGAAATGTATGTGTGTAGGGGGGCCATGGTAAGGGATGCTGCTTTAGCTAGGGTGATCTTGGAAGGCTTATCTGAGGAGGTAGCATTAGAACTGAGTGCTCATGAGGAGTTAATAGCCAGACATTACCTGGGATGATAACAAACCTGTTACTAGCAGAACTAGGGCAAAGGACCCAAGATTAGAAAGAAATGGGCTTAGGATATTGCCAGAGGCCTGGTCATGTAGGACTTTGTAGGTGATTTAGAGTTTGAATTTTATTCTAATCATTGCAAGTCATTGGAAAGTATTAAGTAAAGAAGTTATATGGATCATCTCATTAATGGTTACCACTTTGAGAAACTCCGCACTTGTTGCTCTTGGGAGAATTGCCTGTTGGGAAACAGTAAGGGCAGAAGCAGGGAGGAAACCACTTCTGAGGCAGTTATAGTAACCTGGGTAAAGTGATGTTGGCTTGGACTGGGATTTTTAGAAATGAGAAAAGTGTGAAGTTGTTGAATACAGGAAATGTTTAAGAGGTAGAAGGACCAGCCTTATTGAAATATTGGGTATGTGGGGATGAGGAATTAAGAATGATAATCAGGTTTTTGGCTTAAATAACTGAGGGATTGTTGGTTCAGTTTTATAAGATGGAAAAAGGTTGGATGAGAGCACAATTTTTCCCTGCCTGGGGAGGAAGTAGTACAAATGGAAAGACAAACCAATTGTAACAAAATGTTAACAACTGATGAACATAGATAAAATGCATAAATATATTTATTGTAATATTTTTAGAACTTTTGAAAAATTTCAAAGAATTGGGGAGGGGAGAAGAAAAAGAAAAGCAGTGCTTTAATAGTTCATTTTCAAAGAGGATGACCTGCATTTATGGTTTTAAGGCACATTGAAAAAATGTTTAAAATGATTTGTCCTTTGAATTTTAGATACCAGTATATTTTTCCTAATATGATTTATTATTATTATTATTACTATGGCTATTATTATTATTTAACCCTCTTCACATCTCAGGTTTCAGATCGACAAAGCTATCTTGTCATATCTTTGGTTCTCTGTGTTGTCTTGGGACTGATGCTTTGTATGCAGCGTTGTCGAAACACTTCTCAATTTGATGGAGATTATATTTCAAAACTTCCTAAAAGTAATCAATATCTAAGCCCTAAAAGGTAATGCCAGCATTGTATTTCACTATTTCCTTTTTTTACTATGCTTTTTATATTTTTGAGAAATTTTGAGCAAATAAAAGGACAGTGAGGAAATTTCTTTCCCCATGTTTATCTTGAAACCAGCATCTTAAAAACATTGTTGGGATAGTGAGATGGGCCCATGCCTGGATGGCTCTGTATATTATACTAGAGAAAACACTAGTAGTAAGTGCATAAAACCTTTGAAATGTTTTGGTTGAGAAAGACGCTCAAATGTAGAATGCGAAAGAGAAGGAGAATAGGTATTTTAATATAATACCTTTTAGACAAAAATCTTTAAATGTTTTTTACACCTGTTAGTGATAACAGGAGTGTTAGAATTAGTCCTGTGTGATATATACAGTTCTCAGTAGCCTCCATTTAGTCTCAACTACAGAGTAAATTATGTATAGTTTCTCATTGTGCATAATACTGATTTTTCTTAATATGTTAGGTGTTTCTCTTCCTATGATGATATGAATTTGAAAAGAAGAACTTCATTCCCACTCATCAGATCCAAATCTCTACAGTTAACTGGCAAAGAAGGTAGATTTTTGTGGATATGTAAAATGTATATAAACATGAAGCTTACTTCTGGAATAAGTGTAATGTCAGTGTGGTGTTAGTGACCATCTGCAGCGAAAAATGGATATATGTAACCTTTGTGTTTGTGCTATGTCAAAGCCACTTTATTATTTTCACGTTTTTTATCTTTGTTCTTAGAAGTCCAGAGGGTGGGTAGGGGGGCTTCATTTATTTAATTAGCAATTGGTAGCTTTGTTTGCACATGCTCCTGTTTAGAAGTATTTCTTTTTAGAAAGGGATGTTTGAGAAAGTTCAACAGATATGGAAAACCTGAATGTGCTCCCATAGCATCCTGTGCTTATCTGCTTCCTCTTCCTGTACAGGTAGGACCCCTTTCATCTCTAGTTTAGGATTGTGAGGCACCTTCTGAACAAAAATCTGGTCTTGCGATTTTTCACAGCCCCAGAGTCTAAAATTGGATATCATTGCCTGACACTCAGTAAATACTTATATTTAAGTCAATGGATGTGTATTGAGTGGCTGTTTTCCTATTTCATTACCTTTGTAATTAGTGTTTATTAAGAGACTTAGAAATTTGTTTTCATAGCAATGTTAAAATAACCAAATTAATTCAATTAGGAGTGCCTTCTTAATCACTGGCTGTTCTCCCTTTCTTTAGGATTTAGTAACTGAGTAGCATGCTTCAGTTGATTAAATCATTAATCATTCCTGAGCTTCACTGATTTATTGTTAACATAAAGCTGTATAGACTCAACCCATTACATGTGTGTTTATTTAGGGCTAGTAAATCTCTTCCTCCTTTCTGCTTTTTTCTTTCTCTTTTCTTTTTTTTTTTTTTGTGACCGGTAAGGGGATAGCAACCTTTGGCTCAGTGTGGTCCGCACCATGCTCAGCCAGTGAGCGCACCGGCCATCCCTATATAAGATCGGAACCTGCGGCCTCGGCGCTACCAGCACCGCACTCTCCCGAGTGAGCCACAGGGCCGGCTCCTCTTTTTCTTTCTTTTGGTTGATACGTCTTTTTATAAGTTAAAATTTTAATTGAAGTGTTACATGCAAGAAGGTATAATTATCATATGTAAAGTGTGAGTAATTTTCACAAATTGTACATACCTGTGTAAATAACATCCAGATTAAAAAGCAGAACAAGAGCAGGCTGGCCATTTAGCTGTGTTAGAGCATTGTGCTGATAATATAAGGTCCAGGGTTTGATCCTGGTACTGGCCAGCTGCCCCTGCCCCCCAAAAAGAAAAGCACCTGAAAAACTTCCTTGTGCTGTTTTAGTCACTACCTAACCCTTCCAAGGGTAGTCAGTATTTGTGACTTCTAAACTGTTGCAAGATTCCCCATGCCATTGAGTGTAGTCATTTGTTTATTCTCATTTCTGTCTAGAATTGCATTATACAAATATAATATATATTATTTATTTGCATTTGGATTATTTTCATTTTGAAGCTATTATGTATCTTTTGGTGAATACATGTATGCATTTCTGTTGGATATACACATGGAAATGGAATTGATGCATCATAGGGTATGTGTACTTTCAGCTTTTTATCACACAGCTTTCCAGAGTGGTGTGTGAATTTGCCCTCCCAGTAGCTGTAAATGGGAGTTCCAATTGCTTCACGTCTTAGTTAACATTTACTATTTTTGTTTTTTTAGTCATTCTGGTGGGTGTATATGCATTTCTTATTTGAGCTGTATTCATGCCATTAAGAAATATGTCAGTGATAATTTTCCTTTTCAGCATATCTAGTCTTAAGTGAAATCATGAGTTTTTTACCGTTTCTTTTCCCTTTATCTAACTCTTTAAGGCCAGATAGAGCAGGCTTCTGCACCTAATAATAGAATTATTTCTGTTTTTTTTTTTTTTTTTTCCTTTTTTTTTTTTTTTTTTTGGGGCTGGCAAAGGATCGCAACCCCCAGGCATTTCTTATTTGAGCTGTATTCATGCCATTAAGAAATATGTCAGTGATAATTTTCCTTTTCAGCATATCTAGTCTTAAGTGAAATCATGAGTTTTTTACCGTTTCTTTTCCCTTTATCTAACTCTTTAAGGCCAGATAGAGCAGGCTTCTGCACCTAATAATAGAATTATTTCTGTTTTTTTTTTTTTTCCTTTTTGTCTTTTTTATTTCGTGACTGGCAACGGATCGCAACCCTCAGTGTCGCACCCGTACCGGACCGGGACCGGCAACGGGATCGTAACCCTCGGTGTTGCGCCCGCACCTCGCTCAGCCAGTGAGTGGCTGGTCTGTATGTGGGATCCGAACCCTCAGCGGGAGCGCCGCTGCGCTCCCAAGCGGCGCACTGTAGCAGTGAGCCACTGGGCTGGCCCGAATTATTTCTGTTTTAAACAGTGATGTCGTCTTCATTTATATCTTTATAAGTAAAGAAGGTTGAGTACGGTAGGTAGAGATTGACTTTAATCCTGATTCTGCTATTAGTTGATTTATACATTTATTTCTTCTCTTGTTTGAATTAAATCTCTTCTTACGACACTTCCCATAGTCTGCTTTGATTTTACCTATGTGGTGCTTGCCTTATTTTTCAAACTCTGTGAGAAGGGACCGTGTCTTATTTTGTGTTCTTTGTTTTTTTTCCATTGTTGTAAAAGCATATAACATTAAGATTTACCAACTTAACTATTTGTAAGTGTACAGTTCAGTAATGTTAAGTATATTCGTGTTGTTGTGAAACAGATCTCCAGAATGTTTCATCTTGCAAATCTGAAACTCTGTACCCATTAAACAACTCCCCTTTTCCCCTGCCCCCTTACTCCTGTTAACAACTATTCTATTTTCTATTCCTATGAATTTAACTACTTTAAATACCCCATATAAATGGAATCATACAGTATTTGTCTTTCTCTGATTGGCTTATTTTACTTAGCATAAAGACCTCAACGTTCATCTGTGTTATAGCATGTGACAGGATTTCCTCCCTTTTTAAGGCTGAATAATATTCCATTGTATGTATATACCATATTTCCCCTCTTGGCTATTGTGAATAGTGCTGCTGTAAACTTGGGTGTACAGATATCTCTTTGAGACCCTGCTTTCAGTTCTTCATATACTCAGAAGTGGGATTGCTGGATCATATGGTATAGGTCTGTTTTTAATTTTGAGGAACTTCCATACTGTTTTCCATAGTTGCACCATTTTACAGTCCTACCTACAGCTCAAAAGGATTTCAGTTTCTCCATCTCCCCCCCTGCACTTATTTCCTGGTCTGTTCTTTTTTGATAGTAGCCATCCTAATGGGTGTGAGGTGATATCTCATTGTGCTTTTAATTTGAATTTCACTGATGATTAGTGATGTTCAGCATCTTTTCAATATGCTTGTTGACCGTTTGAATGTCTTCTTTAGAAAAATGTATATTCGAGTCCTTTGCCCATTTTTTAATTGAGTTATTTGATTTTTCATTGTTGCATTGTAGGAGTTCTTTATATGTTCTGGATTATAACCCATTATTATGTGTATGATTTGCAAATATTTTCTCCCATTCTGTAGGTTGCTATTTTACTCTGTTAATTGTGTCCTTTAATGCACAGAAGTTTTTAAGTTTGATGGTTTCATTTGTCTATTTTGCTTTCGTTGCCTGTACTTTTGGTGTCATACCTAAGAAATCATTGTCAAATCCAATGTCATGAAGCTTTTCCTTTATATTTTCTTGGATGAGGTTCCACTTTCATTCTTTTGCATATCCTAAATTTTGTGAATATTCATTCAGTTTTCCAAGCACCATTTGTCAGAGACTGTCCTTTTCCTGTTGAGTGGTCTTGACACCTTTACTGAATATCATTTGACCATATGTGTGAGGGTTTATTTTGGGGTTTTTTATTTTTTATTCCATTATTGGTCTGTTTGTCTCTCTTTATGCCAGTACTATACTGTTTTGATTACTATTGCTTTGTAATGTATTTTGAAATCTGGAAGTGTGAGTCCTCTAAGATTGCTCTTTTCATAATTCTTTTGGTCGTTTGCAGTTTCTTAAGATTCCACGTGAATTTTAGGATAAACTTTTCTATTTCTCCAAAAAATGTTGTTGGGATTTTGATAGAGATTGTGCTGAATCTGTAGACCATTTTGTGCAGTATGGGTATTTTAACAATGTTAAGACTTCCAACTCATTAACACATGTCTTTCCATTTGTTGTATCTTCTTTAATTTTTTTCATTAGTGTTTTATAGTTTTCAGTGTATATGTCTTTCACCTTCTTGATTACATTTATTCCTCAGTTTTTTATTTTTTTGATGCTGTTGTAAATGAGGTAATTTTCTTTTCCTTTTCAATTTGTTTGTTAGTATTTTAGGAATGCAACTGATTATTTTGTGTGTTAATTTTATTTCCTGCAAGTTACTGACTTCATTTACTAGTTCTAACAGGTTTCTTTTGTTTGTTTTGTTTTGTTTTTTTTTAATCTTTTGGGTTTTCTGTATATGAGATCATGTCATCTATGAACAGAGATAATTTTACTTCCTTTTTTCCAATTTGTGTGCTTTTTTTTTTTTATTCTTGCTTAATTTCTTTGTCTAGAACTTCTAATAGTATGTTGAATGGAAGTGGGGAGGGTGGACATCCATGAGGAAAAGCTTTCAGTCTTTCTCCATTGAGCATAATGTTAGGTGTGGGCTGTTCATAAATGGCCTTTATTATGTTAAGGTAGTTTCCTTCCCTTAGTAGTTTATTGAGTATTTTTATGATGCAGGGATATTGAATGTTGTCAAATGCTTTTTCTGCATAAATTGAGATGGTCATATGGTTTTAGTCTTTTATTCTGTTAATGTGCTTTATTACATTGATTTATTTTTGTATGTGGAACCATTTTTGCATTACAGGAATAAATCCCACTTGGTCATGGTATAATCCTTTTAACATGCTGTTGAATTTTGTTTGCTAGTATTTTTTTTTTTTGAGGAATTTTACATCAGTGTTCATAATGGATATTTGTCTGTAGTTTTCTTTTCTTGGTAGTATCTTTGTCTGACTTTGGTA